ACGAAACCAACTCTGCGTAAGTGTTTCTCAGGTTATCATTAAAGGAATATTTCAGTGTTTTTTGAGTTACATGTCACTATATGTGTTTTGGCCGCAATGGATGCTGGTCAGCTCTGCCCTTTTAATAAGAACCTGCCATGAGAACCAGCTCACTGGCTAAGCTATTTTTTTCCAAAGACAAAGTCAAATCTTATAAGTCAAGCCCATAGACTGTATAAAGAATGGACAGAGTCTGCCTCCTGTCTGGGTGAAGCCACTCTGAGAACAGCAATCTCTGTTGACAGGCTGCAGTATAGGTCATAAATCCCGCCTCCGCCAGCAAAGCTTATGGAGCTGTGGACAAATTTTAGAAATTTATTACACAGAACATAATTTTTCTCCCCCCTGCTTGTGATGTTGACATGTCGTTATTGTAAGACTGGTTTGTGCTCAAGTCCTCTTTTTTTCTGTGAAGCTCCATTTTAAAAGTTATTAGGGGGTTCATGTTTGACACCTGATACAGCCTATGGGCGTTCAGGGATTGCGTAGCTCACCCAGGGGATATGCTGTTTGAGCCGAGCGTCATCACAGCGACTCTCGGCGACTGCGCGGCCGAATGCGCGCATCGCTACTGCGCACCGCTGGTTTCAGGAAATGAAGCAAAATCCCGGAAATATCGAGAGCTTTTTGGCTTCAAATCCGTATACAGGCGGTAAGCCGAACCAAGTTGTCCATATTATATACAGTCTATGGTCAAGCCTGTTTAGTGTTGTTCTTCTGCTGAAAATCTGTTTTTTGACGTGTCCAGAGTGACTGGTGCAGGTCAGTGGTGCTGTCAAAGTCACTTATTTTTTAGTACATTGTATTTTTTTTCTTTTTGAGGGCCCCAAGGTTGAATAAAATAATTGTAAAAGGCAGCAAAAGATGCTCATGCTGTAGGTTAAAGTAACTTTTATTGCACTGCAACAAAGTAGAATACACATGCCATACTGGGACATAAAAAAAAGAAAGATGACAATTTCAACTGTTTTTCATATCTTTTTATTGCTTTATTTACACTCCGTTGCTTTTTCCCTTAATGAAAATAAAATAGCAGAAAAAGCACTTGAACTTGAAAATATTCAAAAATCGGTGACTTCCAGTGTGACTAATTTACATTTTGGCAGTACCATCAGATCATTTATCCATTGAGCGGCTAGTCCCAATTTTTAGTGTTAACTTGTTTGAGTAACCGTCTAGGTCTTGTCAAAGACATCTGTGTTATCTTTCACCTTTGTCAAAAACAAGCTAAAAAATACTGACAAGTTAATATAAAAAAAAAAATATATAAGATAAAAAAAAACGAATATAAAACTGCTATTGACTGGGAGACAATGAATTCACCATCCATACTCCACTGATTCCTTAAAAGCCAAAACTAGCTAAATATATCAATGCTAAGTGTGAGGAGGCTCATTATGAAGTGCTAAATTGTTCAAACAAAGACAGACTTTCAGGCACATGCCTGACCTGTACAGACTAGTGACTGTAGCTCTTTGTTCTGCTTTCTAATAGTCTTTTCAACCACTCAAAGTGCTTCAATGTTACATGTCCATTCACACCTCATAACTCAGGGTCTGCTATGTAAAGCACCCCTCAATATTAACCAACAGTTTGGGGTTAAGTGTTTTACCCAAGGACACTCCAGCATATAAACAGACAAACCACTAATTCTCTGAGAGCCAATCTACTCACCCAATGAGCCACAGATGTCTGTGTAACAGGTTTGAGTGTGTTCATATATATTTTTACTATAAATACACAAAACCTTTGTTCAAATAGTTTTGTTTGACAGTCTCTACTTCCTATATTTCTTCTTTTATGGTTGTTTGTATATAGTATATGCCAACTGACATGCATAGACATGCTAACTCTGTCCTGCACCTTTTATTTTGTCTGTTTAGGAGATGGAGTGGGCTGAGTTATTGATGTGGAAACTCAAACTGTTTCTGCACCAGAATAAATTGTGGGGCAATGAGTGTTGCATCATTTCTATGTCTAAACACAACAACACAAAAATCCAACAGTTACATCAAAAAGACTTGTGAGTCATGAAGCATGTGAGGGATGTTAGTTTATCAGTTATCAGAAGGTAAATAAGAGGAATATAATACAATAATATAATCAAGACATACCTCTTCCGGGGATGTAATTCCACTAAATTAATGACAGATTTAAGGAGTACTCAAAGTACTCAGTATGCATGCTGACATGGTAAAGTAAGTGTTCACCTTGTTCACTCATAATAAAGTGCAGCCATAACACAGACTAGATAATTACTCTGCAGGCTAGATGTGAACATACACAGACAATATACCACCAAAAGATCCGCTTTTGTGTGTGTGTTGGGTTGCGATTAGGATAATTATGCAAAGGGCAGAGTGAGGTAATATCTGAAGATCAAGTTGAAGTTCGTGAGAGTGAGGTCCGGTCTGCAGTGGCAGATAAAAACAATCAGCTTCACTGTCGTAGGGCTGTTACCCTAGACCTGATCACAGGATCAGACTTTGCATTCAAAGCCTAAATTATACACTTTTTTATGAGTTTTTCTTTGGTTGTAAAACAGAAAGAGTTGAATGTTTAATCTATATCTCTGTGGTTGATCTGGACATGTAAGATTATCAGACTCTTAGGCTGCTTCTCAGAACCTTACAAAGTGCAAGGTCATTCAAGGGAGAGCAACCACACATTGCACAATTTGTCTAGCCAAGAGCCCATTGCTGTGAAGACTGCAGGAGCAAGGGATTAGACTGTTACGATTTAAATAAATGCACTGTTTGAAAAGACCAAATTTATATCCAAGAGCACGCACTGGGCAGTAGGAGAGGGTGAAAAAGCCCTTTTAGTCGGAAGACCTTAGACCACCACTGATGAGCAGCTATGACACATAACAACCAACTACTAAAATGGCAACATGCAAGAAGGTGAAATATCAGTGTTAATATCATGAGAAAGTACACACACTGTGTTTTGCATACGTCAACAAATGTCTATTTCAATGTCAATGTAGTCTTTATTTATGAAGCACATTTAAAACAGCCAGTGGTCTACCAAAGTGCTTTAAAGTCAGATAAGTGGAGACAAAACAAAACTACAAAAATAATAAAAGCATAATACATATAAAAACATAATACAACAATGTAGATAAACATGACAAATAAATAAAAGACACGACAAAAGTAACTATACTATTCCAAAGGCTAGTGAACAGATAATTAAAGTTTATACATACATTCTTGGTGCATGTCACTAGGTGTTTGTTTGTCAAGTTTTGGGGGGTTTAGCAGCTGCGTAACAATAACAGTTCATGAAGTGTTTTTGATTGTATGAACAAGAGGTGGCTACTTGAGTAAAAAGAGTAAAAATCCTCTGAGCACGCATCATTGTGGGTTTCTTCATAGACCTGCACAAGGTAATTAATGTGTGAATGAACTAAGATCACTCTGATCACTTTGAACCTTGAAATCCTCAGGAAATAAGGCTACAGAATCAGTCAAAATAAAGAGAACGTTTTGGTCTGTTATTGTAAGACCCAGGCTGATTTCAATAACAAATTTAAGGAGGATGATGCCGGGAAGATGCACATCATCAATTAAGCATTTTAACAACCCACTCACATAATTGGGTTTTACGATTGCTGCACTAATGATTCACAACAGCACAGGAAGTTGCACTCAACTTGTTTTTAGTTTGAGTTGACTTTTTGATGATTTGATATTCTTTTTGTGTACTTTAGTTGGTGAGAGTATCTCCAGCCAACAGTAAGACAACAATCAGTGAATCAGTCAACAGTTCTGCAGAATTCAAGAAGTATGAAGTGCACATTAAGTATGTGGCTTCAGGTTTCCAAATTTACTCAGTAACCACAAGAGTGATAGTAACCACCCGGGAGAGTCAAAACATTTATTCCCTGCTCTCTGCCACAGTATCATTTGTGCTTTTCTTTCTCCACCAGCAAATCAACCCCCTTTCTACTGTAGGTTCTGGTTTCATAGTGGTGTTGATACAAACTCATTCCAATTGCAAGTGGGATTAAAAGCATGCATTTGCTGCTGCCTGACCACTAAGTGCACTTCACGCACTATCAAGCTAATAGAGATATCATTTTCTAATGATGGAGTGTAAGTGGTGTTGACTCTTAAAAGCAAAGTGAGGTCAAGATTTTATGTTTTGCCATCTAACTTAATGCATCACAGACAAATTATCTTGCCTTTCCGCCACACTGGCTCTTTAACTTCTTATACAAGAAGACCCACTTTCTCTGCAGCATCCGTATTCAATTAAGAAACTGTAAATCACACTCATTAGCAACATAGAAAGGAAATACAGAGATGTGAAAAAGTCTCCCATCATTAGTCAAGAGAGGGCAGGCTGGTTGACTCTCCTCCATGCGTCTCTGCCTCTCGTCTCTACAGTGCTGCTCCAACACTCTCAACAAATGACTTAACAAGGCTGTATTATGATGACACATTCAGCACTGTGAATCAACAAGTCTGGCACCGCAGTAACTTGACCTTGGTTATGTAATTATATCTAGTGTGTAAACACATGTCAAACCTCTGTAAGGTTAGGCTGACAAGTATTTCATTAGTAGAAGAGAACAGGTCAGACAAGTAAATGCATGCAGAATTGGCACAGACATGAGATACTGTGTAAGGAGGAGAAAAATGTGTTTGCATCTCTATCACATGAGAGAGTAAGAACTGGAAAAATAAACTCAGACAATAGATTTGAAATCATTCATGATTAATCCAATATAGGACTAATAAAGAGCCTGCAAACCAAGTAACAAAAGTATAACTTCCTGTGTTAATGCACGTATTGACTCAGTTTGTGAATTCCTGGCAGCAGAGCGAATGATGTCATCAGGCGTACATGCTGCCGTTGAAGAGGGAGATCAGCACCACTTCCAGATAACTGAGCGTGTGAAGAGGCAGCCACCTGCAGCAGCAGCAGCCGCAGCAGCGTCCTCCTCCTCCTCCTCTCATTCAGACGGGTCATAGACAGAGGCACAGACAGAAAGGCAGAGCTGCTCTTCAAAATATTTACCAGGAGAGGAGATCAACGACTCACAGCAACATTTCAACACCAGGCAGGAGTAAAGTGGTAAGGAGAAGTTTCTGGAGTTAAAATTACAGTCACTTTTGTTCAGATTTTTCTTTTTTTAAAGTAAAGGTGCTTGCAGACATAAACAGTTTTAGCACCCAGCAGCAAGGAAAGTGGTTTAATAGATCGCCTTTAGAAGCCTCACAGTTAGTGCATGCAATAACTTGTTTATTAGCTGAAAAATCAGACAGTCTGGTCCCAGAAAGTCATGATTTCATGGTATTAATGCAATTTGTCAAAAGTAGAAATTCATCATGGAAGATGTTCAAGGATGGTTTTATTTTGCATTCAAAGTCATTTGGAGCCTTTTCCTTAAGATAGAAACATTTTTGTTACGTGAATGCAAAATAAAAAAATACCTTATCTATTGTCTGAGTACTTTTTCAGAACCAGAAATTCTCAGGAACAATCTGCCACACCACAGTCATCACTCTGTCTCTCTCTCTCTGCAGAGCTTTGAGACGTTTTTGTTTTTTTTCTTGCATGCTCAGCTTCTTGGTCGTCTGCAGTAACTTCCTCCTCTGATATTATCTGTATGTTTATGTTGTACATCATTTCTGTCTGCCTCAGCAGCTTTAGGTGCCACCACAAATGGACCAAATGAATCTGACAGACAGCATAGAGAGCAACTCTACAGACTGTCCGTCTATTGATGACTTCCGTAACCAGGTGTACTCCACCTCCTACTCCATCATCACTGTGTTAGGCCTGGCTGGGAATGGCTTAGCCCTAGTAGTGCTGATCAGGACCCGCCGCCAGAGCTCCCCGTTTCACATCTACATGCTGAACCTGGCTGTGTCTGATCTGCTGTGTGTCATGACGCTGCCTCTGAGAGTCCTCTACTATGTGAACAAGGGCCAGTGGAATCTGGGGGATTTCATGTGCCGCATTAGCTCCTACGCCCTCTATGTCAACCTCTACTGCAGTATTTACTTCATGGCTGCCATGTCTGTCACACGCTTCGTGGCCATCGTCTTCCCTGTTCAAAACATGCAGCTGGTTACACAGAGCCGTGCTCGCCTGGTGTGTGTGGGTATCTGGGTGTTTATTTGTCTGTCATCTTCACCCTTTCTGATGTCTGGCCAGCACTTTGACTCCATCACAAATAAAACAAAGTGCTTTGAGCCTCCACGAGAACGAAATTTACAGAAGGTTGTCATTTTGAATTATTGGTCTCTGGTGGTGGGCTTTGTCCTGCCCTTTCTGGTCATCCTGCTTTGCTATGCTGGCATAGTCCGCACCCTGCTGTTCCGCACCCAAGCTGCAAAACGCCAACAGGAAACCTGTACCAAAGCAATCCGAATGATTGTCATTGTCCTTCTAACCTTCCTGGTCAGCTTCATGCCCTACCACGTGCAGCGCTCCATCCACTTGACCTTTCTGTCTCGCAGTGACACCACCTGCCTGGAGCGGATTGCCATGCAGAAGTCTGTTGTGGTGACGCTGTGCCTTGCAGCTGCTAACTCGTGCTTTGACCCACTGCTTTATTTTTTCTCTGGAGAAGGTTTCCGCAAACGTTTCTCTTCCATGCGCAGGTCAGGCAGCAAAGGCAGCACCCTAAACCCCACAAAGAGGATGAAAGCCAACGCAGACTCAAAACATGAAGAAGTCCACCAGCCAAAGGGCAGTTAGTCTTACCGTTTTTTGTGTCTTAAGAGTACATAATTATCATTTTTAAGTGATGCTGGCCAGTAGCTGAAGCATGTTGTTGGTAAATACTTTTAGGAAAGCTTGAAGTGAATAGTATGAATCATCCTAATCCAGTTCTGCTATGTGTATGGGTATTGTTGATAAAGCTGAAGTGTGTGTTGTTTGCTGTATTTTTCAAATACCTGAAGTCCATTTTTTGCACAACCTACATGTAAATGTTTCATTAAAGGGTTTCAGTACCATAATGCTCATTTTTTAAAGTATTTTGTGGCATTTTAAATCAATATATATCTTTTTTTTTTGTATTATTTTTATTTTTCTACATGTTCTCATAAATAATGTTACCTTTATTTTGTTCATGTGTTATTACAGTTCTATAATGTCTGAAATAATCTGCTTCATCTAAATGTTCAGTGTTTGTACTACTGAGTATCTTGTTGTTTTGTTGATTGTTTTGTCTCATGTTAATGACCACTTGCTACCTTGGGCTTTTAAAGAACAGGGTCTGACTTTCTGGACTGAGTTCAGCAAAAGCATACTTGTGATTCAGAAGTGCACTTTTACGGAAAAACAGCCATACTTTGTCAAATTTATGACTACTCTCAGATCCCTTTAGAAAATATGAAACAGTCTGCAGAAGTGAGCCCAGCTCAGACCAGAGAAGATGAACAAAGGTAATAAAAGTGTCTTACAAGCATTAAACCTCACAAATTAGTACTTTGGGTATCATCTGTTTAACACCCACAGTCAGCTTCCTTTTGGTCTCAAAGCTCAGCTTAGACAACTCGAGATATTTCTGTTAAAACATGCTGCTGTATATGTACTGCTGCTAACTATACACCATGTTATGATGACTGAATCAACAGATGAAAATGAATAAATGGAGGTCCAACCCTGGCCACTAGGTGTCGCACAATTCAAAACTAAGTCTAAAATGTGTCACTAAATTTTCTGAAGCAAGAAAAAAAGTTGCTGAAAAAAACAGGTTGTTGTTTTCTGTCACTTCTGTCTACAGTCGACACACCACTGACCTGAACCTACAAAATACCTCACAATTAATCTGTAAAAGGATATCTCCAAACTTCATGTCTCAAAATCTTGTTTATGTACATTTAACTCTATATTTATCCAATTAATCTGTGTTGATTTCACTGGACATCAAAACAAATTCATGAATTATGTTTTATTTGGCACTTTAGGGGGCAGCGGTCAAACTGTTGTTAGTTTATTTCATTTTAGGCTGTTTTTTAGTAAATGGACCTTTCATTAAACTGACCATTGAGAGCACATCCCCATCTTTCATAAAGCCTCCCTGCTAATCAGGAATACAAAACGGCAGTAAAAGAGCAGACATCTGCTGCTAACCCTGCTGACTGGAACAGAGAGGGCCACTGTATTACCGCTTCATAAACAGATTATATCAAGCACATGATCGGCTCCCTCCTCAGTTTGCACAAAAAGATGTTTGTTTCAGGCAGCAAAGCGGGACAATCTCAGAGATGAGATTCTGCAGTGGTAGCGTACCTCAGTGCAGAGATGCCCACCAAGCAGGAAGAAAGGAAAGTCCCTCAGCTGTTCCACTGAATTTGTCGTGCAGGACATCTTCATGATATCCAAAACAATTAAACTGTGCCCAAGTTTGTTCCTTTCTATCAGTGATCAGCACTTGGTGATTGGGAAATGTGAAGAAGAAGACATGTTTGCCCACAGGGGGAGCAGGCTCGGTCTGTGGTGTTTTAATGCCCTCCATGTGAGTTACAAGCCAAAGCTGCTCTTATTGTGATCATGGTTCTCCTATCCTTCATGTTTTTGAATCCATGCTTCTTAAACCTTTGGTCCTTCAAAAAACAAAAACAAAAACAGTTTGGATACCCTGTACCCAAATTAACACATTGAAAAACACTTTAATAGCTTTTCGTGGATTTTTTTTTTTTTTTTACATTCATATTACAGATTTGTTTATGCCAATCAAGTTACTTCACTTTAAAGCAACATGTCAAAAAATAAGTGCTCACAATTTTAGGTATCACAACAGGCAAATTAATGGTATATATTGTTGTCCTGCATGCCGCCATACCCCGTCTATTTGTCTCCTTACACAAGTCAAGCTTAAATTAGATCCTGCAGTTTCCACAATGCCGCTCTTCAGTGTGTTTTCATATGCCCACACAGCCTGGTAACCTTCCTTGTCTTGCTGAAAATAATTCTAATCAAACCAAAGCAGCTTGACGAAACAGCTCCAGAGCCACGACGATAACAAAAACACGCTTCACCCATGTCCAATGAATTGTGAGCAGTTTACTCTTGATTTATTTGTTTTTTATTTTGCCACCTGTGCGGAGAGCAAACACTTTAAACACAAAACAGACATCACATAGTGACACAGATATTAAGCGTGATAACAAGCAGCTGTCTCGTAACACATCCAACAGACACAAAGCGGTAAGAAGAATTTACTTGAAGTCCATAATCACTCTCCAGATGATCATTTTGGCTCTTTTACTTGTCAGAACTTCACTGCGGTTTTTACTAGCTGACCTGCAACGCCACCTGTCAGCCTGTCGCTGTTGTTCAGGTCACATGTTGTGCTGAAAACGACATTTATGAGAGCGGTAAAATGATATGGTTGCAAAAGCATATCACTTAAATACTCGGTAAAGCTGAGGGAAACAGCAGAGTCTGGGTGGATTTTTTCACTCCAATAAAAAAAGTCATGAATAGTTATAGAGCATACTTGTAAAAACAGCTTTCACATGGACGTTGTTTTAGTTTCCTGCTATCAACATGATGACTCTCTTTAAAGTACAGATGCAATCCTCTCTAACAGAAAACAGAGCAGACTGAAAAAAAATGCTGAAAATTGTTGCCTTTTCATGCTTGTCACAGTCAAGCTCTACTACAAACCTGATATTTGGTGCAACCACACTTGATTTGACACACTTAAGCAGCACAACCTTGCTCGTGTGTTTGAGTGAAATGGCAACTCAACAGTGAACCAGAATTCCTGGTAAGGTTTGAAGGAGTGCGGTGTTATGTCACTGCTAATCTAAATTTTCAGCTGAATAACAGAGGAGGAATGTCAAATGTTGAATATTTTGTCTGGTTCACTCTGTAATCTTGGGTTTAACGCAAGCAAAGCTACACTGAAGCCGAACATAACTCTCTTATCAGTGTAATGACTTCACCTCACATGATCCCTGCCGCTGAAGCAAAACATCTTCAAACTATGTGAAATCACACACAGGGAAACATACAGTGGAAACTAAATGCATTATTGTGTTTGTGTTTCTACGTGTGATACCTATACTTTCAATATTTCTGCTTATGTTTCAGCAGAGGACACACGCAGATTGTGGTTTTTATTCCTGCAGGAGCGGAGGTCAAAGCACATGCTGCTAGGTCACGGTTATGGCTGAGTTCAGGTCGAGAAAAAGTAAGGCCGACAAACAGCTCACAGACGGATAAATAGTGGTCTGGAGCCTGGGGAACAGCTGGAGTCAAACTATGTCAGGCTATTACAAGTTTCTCATTGAAAACAGACAACAACTCTTCTCCCACCGCCCACTCTATCACATCATATGTCACAAAACACACCAACCCCCTGCTGTTTTTATCCTGATCCTTACCCTACAAACCAGGGCCTTCCTCTGGCTGTTTTTTTACAGATCGTCATCTCCTTAAAGGGACACTTGTTAATACTGCCACAGTTTCTTGAAAAGAGGGTGTGTTCTCGATTAAGTCTTTATTTTGAGCAGTTAGTGTATATTTATCTGTACTGTGACGCACAAATAAAGAAAGGCCCTACAGTTTTCTTTTCTTCTAAAACGTTATCGCTGAATCGCTTATCCAAATCATGTTCGTCCTGCTGGTGTCTTTAAAAAGAACAGGGTTTATATTTAACTCTCTTTCAACAGAATAAATTGTAAGTCTAATACGTGATGTGACAGAGCTGGACCAATAAAGACTTTGTGTGGTCTTGTATAATGAGTGCAAATTGTGTTATATCTTGATCCCATTTTTAACCATTATTTCATTACTACTGTTTTTAGTTGTGCTTTCTTTTAAACTAAAATGATCTGTTAATTGCCTCTTTTTCTTTAGTCTTTGTAATGCACACTTAGTCCTCATAAAAACGGTTTTATTGCACAAAATTGCTTTAAGGAAGAGGATGGGTACGTGTTAAGCCATTACAGCCGTACGAAAAGGCAAAAACCGATAACAAAAGTGCAACGAATGGAGCGGCGTTGCACAAAATTACAGGCCATCCCCTGAGGGCCTTTTTCTGCGTGGTCAGTCATTTATTACTTTATCTCTACTTCATCTCACTAATCTCACAACCCTTTTACCCTCTTGTCCCCGCATTAAAACAGCCAAAAGCACACAAACCCTGAGTAGGCACACAAAGGTCTGTGAGCAGCTTTATAAATGACAAAAAAGAGAGAGAGGACGGCGAGTGAGACTGAAATGGTCAATAACCAGATAATGCATTGAATGTTGTGCAACACTTGTCCTTGGTTTTGATAGATTTGGATCTTTACCAATTTATAGACCTGCTCAATGAAGTCTTACGCAAAAATCAGTCAGCTTCTTACAAAAGGGATTTTTTGGTAAATGTAATAAAACAATAAAACCCTGCTTCTTTTACTGTGTTTCATTAATCATTTCTAAGCAAATATAACCTGATTGTTTTAATTGAATAAGAGATTATAAATGCAGCATTTATCTCTTGAGATACTTGGGAGTGGAGCGTAGCCTCACACTGCAATGTTTGCCCAGATTATAATTTGGAGATGAAGAAAACTTCCTTTAACTCACCGATCCTTAAAGAAATTTTAATCCTCATCCCAGCTTTTAATGTTGTGCTATAGTGGTGATGATACACGTTTCACTAACACACTTAAACTAGTCCTGTTATGTGGAGTGAAACTGGGTCATCCTGCTCATACCCCAGTCAGACTCTGCTGGTTTTCCCATCTCCGAGA